CTGTATAACACTTAGGAATCTTGGCTTACTCTTCTATCTTGAACTAACAGCAAACCAAGGTTATAGTAACCATGAATTTCTGAGAAATGAGAATGAGATATGGGAAATTAAGTTTCAGGAGAGGAATTGAAAGTGAGGCCTACAGGAATGTTTGCAGTTTAATGCTTTTCAGGAATATGCTCAACTGCTAAGAAACAGCAGCATACAGACCCAGTCTACTAGTCTGCAGCAGGCCAAGTCAAGGGCATCCTCTTAGAGTCCCAGTTCTATGCTGAGCATGGCATTCTGGAAGAAGCAGTTGTACATCCAGAGTTGCCTTGGGTCTTTTCAACTACATCAGTACACATGAACAGCATCATAGTCTACACACACATGGGAAAATGATATCTACATGGCTTTCCATTGCTTTCCCAATCTTCTCTCAACCCATCTGTACCCTCATTCAGGCAGATATTTGTTTTAATGAATCAAAATTTATGCCACATGAATGTAAAGAATATCACAAAATTCTAGAAAGCTAGAATGGCAGAACTAGAAGTTTCATCTAGTCTAACCCTCTCATTTAACAGATAGATAAGCTGAGGTACTGAGAAACTGAGGTACAGTTGCTCAAAGTCACAGAGCAAGTCAAGAACAAAAATCATCTAACTCGCCCTGGCTGGTTTGGCTCAGTGGTTAGAGCGTCAGCCTGTGGTCCAGAAAGGCCCAGTTCGGTTCCCACTAAAGGCATGTATCTCGGTTGCGATTCATCCCTGGCCCTGGTTGGGTCATGTGGGAGGCAGCCACTCGATGTGTCCCTTTCACGTTGATGTTTCTCTCTCTCTTCCTCTCCCTCCCATTCTATCTGAACAAAAAAAGGAAAAATGTCCTCGGGTGAGGATAAAAAATAAAAATCATCTAACTCATAGTCACTGCTTAGCTAGTATTACTGAGATCACCAGCCTCTTGGGGTCCACATTTAGATGTAGAATGAGCATTTGAGGCTACTAGACAGTGAGCCAAGAATGCAGCCTCAACCAGCTACTCCAACTCAAACAAGTATCTTCTCTGGTTGGCTTCCAAATAGCCCAATCTCTCTTCTTCATCCCTTCCCGTATGAGTCAATGTCTCAGTTTGGGACCCAGTTAGATTGAGGAGGAGGCAGGAAAGATTGACTGGAAAGATGCCTGGCCAATGGCCCTGTGGCCTGAAGCTCCATAGCAGGCTCTAAGCCTACCTGATTTAGCTTCTCTGGACAGTAGGCAAAAGCTTTCAGCCAAAGACAAAACATTTGTTCAAAAGATATCTGGCTCCCAGATTCAGCATTTAATGATTAGCTCGGTGAGACACCGAACCAAGCAATGAAAGCCCCTAAAATGAGGAAGAGAAAGAAAGTCTAATGTGCCACTGGCTTCACCCATCCTTGGAACTCTGCCCAAAAGACAGAGGGCACCATTTTCCCATGCCTAGAAAATTCTGTCTTCAACAGAGTAATCCTTGAGCCTGAACTAGCTTGAGCCCAACCTTCTTGACCATTGTCCCTGTTCCTGGGTGGCGAGAGCCCTAACCATACTCTCCCCACCTGGGAGCCTGCAAGGGCCATGCTTATAAAGTGCCCAACAAAAGACTCCTCCCATCACGTTTTATGGTTCAGTGTTAGACTGGCAGTAGAGGTGGAAAGTGCAGGCTAATGGGTTTACTATGGAGCACATTCAAAAAGACCTAAACTTGGAGCCAATGCTAACAACGCTGGTTTGTTCTGCTTTGTTCCCTGGACCCCCAACTCTAACCCTGCCCCGGCTCTAACTCATTTGGAGTTTTAATAATGACCTGGGACCTGCAACCAATGCCACCTTGCTTCTCTTTCCTTCAAGAGGCTCCCCTCTCATCCCAGGAAGCCATATTATACTTTCCATCAAATTGCCTGGTTGTCCCTGTCCTGCCTGCTGCTTGGTCTGGGTTGAGGGATTCCCAAATTTCCCACGAGCTCTGCAAAAAGTGTAGGTTCATTTCTCTCCTGGTCTTCTTCTTTTTTTTTTCCTCCCTAAATTAGACCTTGGTCATTTGCTTCTGTCTCAGGAAACTTTTGCCTACCAGTCTTCCCAGGTCTAAGATGCAAGGAAAATTGACTTTCCTTTAAAAATAAGTGAAGAGAAGGGACAAAGAGACTAGATGTTGCATGCTCTAGAATGGCCTGGGTTTCACTTCCCTTTTACTCTCTGTGGCTTTTCCTCATGCTCAGAAACCCCTCTGATGTGGATTTAGCCCCAAACATGAAAACTACCATCTTTCTGGGACTCCCTCACAACAGTCCAAATCGTCTTCAGAAACCTAGACCCATTAAGCCAATCAGTACAGCTTTAAGGCTGTGAAGATATCAGGCCTAGCCAAAGAAAATTTTGGTTGTGGGTTGCCTCCAAACATTAAATTCAGAAAATTTTAGAGTTGAAAGGCATGTCAAACATTAATAGAAATGGACAATGCTCCAACCTCCTTGACTGTGGCGGTGGATTTTCTGTGTTTCCCAGAATAACCGTTGGGCAAATACCGGCTGGTAAAGATTTTAGCAAGCTTCTGTGGGCTTCTTCCAGCCCTTGGAGAAAACAGTGCTGTGACACAGGTGGCGGGGAAAGTTGGGGTCAACTGTGGGAAGTGTATGGAGGCAGAACAACATTTGGAACCTCAGGATCTGAATGGTTGCTTGAGAAAGGTGAGGGGCTCAGGAAAGGTAGTGCTGAGGATGAGATTTTCTAGGAGCTCAGAATGTGCTAGGGGTGTTCTTGACTTTTTAAAATTAAACACTGAGGTGTTCCCAAGGGCCTTCAGTATCAAAAACAACTTTCATGAATTCAAGACACATCCCAGCAAGGACCCAAGCCAAAGTATTCTGAGACCCTGGGGACATACCAAATTCCTTTCTGTCCCTTTCTGACCTATACTCAGGAAAATTTAAACCAGTAATCCCAGCCCCTCGGTGGACCTAGTCCGTGTCAAGTACACAGCAGCCACACAGCCCATCAGGCCCCCCTTCCCAGCTGCACTGTGAGGTCTTGACAGGAAAGTCCCAACCAGCCCTCCCTGTGAGTCCCCTATGATCACTTACTTTGAAGTTTGTTCCCCAGCAGTGAACCTCTTCCTGGTAAAATAGTGGTTTTTCCAAGTTTTATTACACAGTCCTAAGGCCACAACTGTAGGCCTGCTTATACCGCATGAATGCCAGGGCCTAGCTTTAGCCCATCCCCCACTATCTCTCATGAAGTTTCGCCCAGATTTTGCCACTGACCCCAAAAGCCAACAGGCTGCCTTCATCCACAGAGCAATACTGAGCAGGTGCCCTCCCAGGTAACCTAGACAACAGCCGAGGCCCTGTCCTGGCTGCTTTCCCGAGCCCCTGAAGTGCATCAAAGCAGGAAAAGGTAGTCTGGGGGTTGAGTGTGGCAGGAACTTCCCCTAGAAGTTGTTCCATACAGTCCAGGGACCCGCTCCACTCAGGCACCAAAGCATCCTGGTCAGGCCTGAGGCTTTCAAGTGAGGCCAGCGAACTAGCATCAATGAGTCACAAGATCAGAGGCACCAAGAGCCCCAAACCCCTTCTTCAAGCGCAGCCCAGTGAAGCTAAAAACTTAAAAACAACAACAACAACAAAAAAAACAAGAGTCCTTGGTTGAGGACCTAGGAGAGGCTCTCCAAGGGCCCAGGGGACCCACAGGTGGACGCCCTAGAATACAGGGTTTCTATTTTCACTAAGTAACCCCCAAGCCCCCTCAGAGAGCAGCAGAAGGGTGTTTGGGGTGGGAGGCAGCTCTTCAGCTCAGGGCGACCTCGAGAAGCCTCATAGTCTGAGCGGAAAACTTTCAGCGGCAGCAAATGCAGCAGGTCCTGAGGAGCCACAGAGGAAGCCAGCATTGAGGAAAGGGGCTCCCAAGCCCCCTGCTGCCTCCTGAGACTCGTCAGCAGAACCGCTGAGGGCTTTGCCGGTGGATTTGCCGAGAAAACGGGACGGCTCCTCTGACTTCTCCGAGCTCACAAGTGGGCGAAATGCAAAGAGCGCACAAGCCCGCGGTCTTCTGGCCGCTGGCCTAGGGCCTGAGGACTACGCCCCCCGGCCCTGCTGGTCTTGGGGAGAAGGACCAGGTTGACCTCACACGAAAGCGGGCGAGGTGGAGGCCGGCAATGCCCACGGCTGAAAGAGGCACCCCCAGGATAGCGGAGAGGCGCGGGGCGCCTGAGAGGGCATGGCTGAAGTTGGGGGCGGTGCGGAGTGAGCCGTAGGGCCCAGCCTGCCGGCGCTTCACGCCCCTCTGGGCTGGAGACCTCGGAGACCGCCCCTTGCCAGCTTTGGGGTTCAGCTCACAGGGCACAGAGATCCACTCGCTCCCTCAGAGTGGCAGAGGACAAGCGGGCCGTCTGGGCCGGCACCAACGCGGGCAGAGAGACGTGCGCACACCCCCACTAGCGCTCCCTCCCTCTCTTCCTCTCTCTGCTGCAGACGCACACGCCTGCCATGTGTTTGACTGTTCACTCAGAGTCACCAGGATTCCCAAAGTGTCCACTCCCCGTACAGGAACAAGGATTGCTTGCACAGGTCCGCGGTACAGTTTCTTTTAAAGTTCTCCTAGCCTCCCAACTCTCTTCTCTCTCCATGACTTCGCCTCCCCCGCACCCCCCCCCAAAAAAAAAACATTCTGCAAATATTTTTCCCCGGTACACAGGGTCAGGGTACTTCAAACCCAAAAGATGCATCTGGATGTGTCCCAGGACAATAAAGTTCATTCCTGGCCTGTGATCAATGAATGTCCCAGGTCCCACCCAGTACATCTTGCGCCTCAGTCTCCACAGCCAAGGCTACCCGGAGACCCTGAACCCTCGCCTTAGCTTAGCAGCGCCATGGGCAGTGGCCAAGGGGAGGAATGGAAGTGACGCGCTGGAAGGGCTACTCGGACCAGAAGGTATAGGGTCGGTAGGAGTGGGCGCAGACACCCTTGCCTTGAATGCCAGGTGGGGCGCTCGGGGCCACTCACCTGCTTGGAACTCCACTTGGCGATTTTTCTCTTTTTCCTCCTGCAGCAGCATGGTGTAGAGGATCCCCACGGAGTTCTGGATGCCAAAGATAGAGCCGTTGCACCAGGTGGCAGCGAAGACCACCATCCAGCCAAAACCACCTTCGGGGGGCTGGAAGCCGCGCGCCGTACCGCGGGTCTCCACGGTGGGCGTGGGCTCGGATTCGTGCACCCGCTCAGGCTCAAACTCCAGATCCGGCAGGGTTGCGGGGTCTGGTAGGGGCTGGGGCTCCGGCTGCGGCTCCGGCTGGGGCTCCGGCGGGGGCACTGGCAAGGGCTCCGGCTCCGGCTCCGGGCTACCCACCCGGTCCTGCTGTTCCTGGTCTGCCTCCCGCCAGGGCCCCTTGGCTTCCTCGCTTGCTGAGCTTTGCAGCGCCATCACAGCCCGGGGACTGTGGCTGCTCGGGCCGGAGGAGCCTGTGTGTGGCTGGTGCTGGTTTCTGCTGCTGCCACTCCAAACGCTGCTGCTGCTGCCGCTGCCTCCTCCTCCCGGCTCCTCGCTCCAGCTGGCTAGCCCGTCCCGCGACAGACGGTCCCTCGAGCCCTCTCCTCCCCCTTCCAAGCCCCCTCCTCCTGTCCCGTGTCATCTCTCTCCTCCCTCTCCTCCTCCCCCACCCCCACCTCTTCCTCCCTCAACCGGCAGCCGCTACAGCCTCTCTTCTTCCCAGCCCTTCCTCCTCCTCGTCATACTTGCCTACCTACTCTAGCTGCCGCTGCGTCCCTCGGCGCCCTTTCAAAATGGTTAAATCCTGTCCTCCTTGTCCAGATGTCCAGTAAAGGGAGAACTAAAAGGGAACAAACGAGAGCACGAACTATCCTGTCCCTCTCCTCTCTCCTCCCGCAAGCTCCAAACGGGTATTGGTGAATTCAGTCCCTAGGGGAGATCCCCCGGTCCTTCCACACAAGCAGCCTGGAACTGGGGTGGCCCTGGGGACCTCAGGACGACAGTTGGCCGGTGAGAGACCCCACACACACACACACACCCTGCCCTGGGGAGCTCCTATGTCCCCCACACAATGGGCTTGAAGGGGGCGACGTGGAGGGGACAGCCCAGGCTTCCGACAGAGCGGGAGCACAGCGTCTTCCCCAGCGCGAGGGCTTAGACCCCCAGCGCCCCGGGTACCCCCTCTCCAGTCTCTCCCCCTCCGCCCCCGCCCTTCCAGGCAAATCCCAGGCTGGGCGCGGAGGGGAGGAGGCAGCCCAGCCGCGAGGCCCGCCCCTCTCCGCAGTCAATCAGGGCTTTGTTTGCGCCAACCTGGAACCCAAAGAAGCCGTTAGAGGGCCGGGCCAGGAAGGCAGGGAGGTGCAGTGGCCCTGGAGGGGGCCGGGCCCAGGCGGGGAAGGAGCCGGAGCTCAGCTCGGGCTCCTCCCGGCTGTGTGTCCCGCTTTGGAGAACTAGAATCGGCTCCAGGTTGAGCCTCCAGTTTGGGCCAGGGCCGCCCGGCCCCCCGACATCCCGGCGGGGCTGGTCACCCAGGCCTGGGCCGATCAGGATTCGGAGCCGCTAGTGGAGGGATGTTTTCCCAGCCCTCACCGCCCCCTTCTGGTATAAGATTTGTGAGTCCCTCTACATGTCCCAGACTGAGGCCCCAGCCCCGCGAGGTTAGAGAGTTTGCTCCCCAGAGAGCATTCCGGTCCTGGGGGAAGGGCGGGGGAGGGGTGATCTGGCCCGCGGCGGCCCAGTCGGAGTGCTCGCTGCCTCGGCCTCAGCCCTCGGGGTCAGCCCAGCGGTCCCGGGAAGTGCTGCCTCCCCGCAGGGCCTCGTCTAATGCACTAATCATGAGGCCGCGGTGCGGTTACCAGGCTACTCCGCTTCTCACCAGCCAGCGAGCGAGCGTCAAGCCCTTTCCACTCAGCATCTCATTAACCTTCTTGCTGGGTGACAAACTGCAGGGCCGGTGAAAATGCAGATCAGGGTTGCAACAGCTGCTCAAGAGAATGGAGTCATTAAGCCCCTGAGGGCGGGTTGAGCTGGGTGCAAGGACAGAGGTGTCCCAGGTGCTTGGCGTCTCATGAGAGGACTTGGCCAAATTCGCAAATCACAGAGGCCATGCTAGTCAGCACAGCAAGTGTTGCTCCAGCGAACACAGCATATCTCTTCCTGCCCTGAGGTATTATTACCACCTGCTTTTTCCAAGCAGTAAATCTGAGGCTCAGCGAGGTCAAGTACAAGCTGGAATTCAAGACAGGTCTCCGTACAGCGCAGCTCTCACACCCCCTGATCTTCGGCACAGGGGTTCCAGGACTTCGTGCTCCAAGGGGGAGAGACAGGGAAGGGGAGGCGGGATCCGGCTTAGCCATCACAGTAGGCTTCTTGAGGAGATGGTGGCTTACATGGGCCTTGAATGTTGAGAAGGATTTTAACCGGGGATGGGGTGGCTGCCTAAGAGGGACAAAGCACAGAGCCATAGAAGGATTCTACTCATAGAAACAGATAAGTGAAAGCTGATCAGGCCAAAAAGTTAATATAGAGGATGGAGCAAAAGTACGTTTACAGTTGTGAGTAGGCAAAACAGGGTTTATTCTTGTTTGATTACTTATTAATTATTGTATTCTTTTCCATACGAACAACTGTAAACCAACCCACTTTTGCCCTATATATGCTGCCTTTCCCAGGAAACGTTTGCATTTTAATCAAAATCCACACTGCTTCAGCCATGGATATTATTGGCACTAAGGCTTAATATTTGCTTTTAGTCAGAGATCTCACCATACACATGACTGTTTTCCCAGGGGAGTCCTAGCCTTGGTTTCCATTTGCATGGAACCCGATTAAGACCCTGAAAAAGGTGATCTGCAAACCCAGAACTAGGAATAGACCCTGGAGTCTTGTAGCCCATCCCAGACCCACTGTCTAAACTCTATTTTTCTCATTATCAAAATGGATTTTTAGATCACTGGAGTGGGGCAGAGGAGGGGTAATGACACTCATTGAGATGCTCCTGTGAACCTAGCCCTTTACATACATGATCTCATATAGTATTCATAACAAGCCTTTAAGGTTGGAATGATTTGTCTGTCTTATGAGTAAACAGGCTCTAAGATGTTGTCGGTTGTTCAAGTGTACAAACCTATTAATAGGTAAGATGGAGATTTTTGCTCACAATATGTGTCTCATACAGGAGACAGGGTTGTGTAACCACTATCCCACCTTTTTTTTGTTTGTTTGTTTTTTATTTTATTTTTTGGTACGTGCCCCTAGCGGGAACCGAACCCAGGACTCTCTGGTCCACAGGCCAATGCTCCAACCACTGAGCCAAACCAGCCAGGGCCATCACACCATTTTAACAGCACATACAGTATCTACCCTTTCTCTCCTCTTTAGAAGGTACTTTATAATGCTGTGGTTCTAAACCTTCCTAATGCCACGACCCTTTAATGCAGTTCCTCATGTTGTGGTGACCCCCCAACCATAAAATTATTTCCGTTGCTACTTCATAACTGCAATTTTGCTACTGTTGTGTCTTAGGTGACCCCTGTGAAAGGGTCATTCGACCCCCAAAGGGGTTGCGACCCACAGGTTATAACATAATGGCTAGAGTACTGGCATAAGGAGACCTGGATTCTAATCTTGGTTCTACCACTTCATACTTGTGTGATCCTAAGCAAGTTGTTTTCCCTCTCCGAAACTCGGGTTTTCTGTTGTTTTGTTATCTACAAAATGAAGTTGATACTGACTTCAAAGAGTTATTAAATGCTGTGCTGGAAAGTAGAGGCTTTATTTTGGATATACAAGAGAGCTACTTCAGATTTTTCAGTAGGAGACTAACATGTCTGCATTTTAGAAGGAAAACTGTGGCAACAGTGTGGAAAGATGCTGTCTTGGAAAGAAAAGAGGTAAGGAAGCTAAGCAATGAACTAGGTAAAAAAAAAAAAAATGTTGGTCTAAAATAAGGTCCTCACTTCTGGGATGAAGACAAAAGGATAGCTCGATGAACCCCTGTTATGGTAGAGTTGACAGAACAGGTCTGGGTAGTGAGGGGAAAAGAAGAAGCAAAGATGATGCTGACATTTCTTGCCTGAGTAAACGAAAGGATGGTAACAGTGTTAATTGAGATGGGGAATTAGGAGCCGAATCAGGTCAGAGGTGCCTGTGGCTTTCTGTCTGTTATTTTTCTTCTGTAAAAGTACTGACTCCTGGTCCCAACTTTATACTTGCCAATTCAGAATATCTGGTGGTGGGAGCCAGGAATACATAGTTTTAACAAAGTTCCTGGTAATATTGACGCACTACAAAGTTTTTAAACCACTACACCAAAACAATAACCCAAAATTTGGATCTCAAAGACTAGTACATGCCCGGCCAGTGTGGCTCAGGGGCTGAGTGTCCTCCCTGCACCAAGAGGTCGCCGGTTTGATTCCTGGTCAGGGCACATGCCCAGGTTGTGGGCCTGATCCCCAGTGGGGGGCATGCAGGAGGCGGCCAGTCCATGTTCTCTCTCATCAGTGTTTCTATCTCTCCCTCTCTCTTCCTCTCTAAAATCAATAAAGAATAATTAAAAAAAAAAAAAAAGACTAGTACAATTTCTCTAAAATTTCTCCCAAAACTTTGGGAACCAACATAAAAATGTTGCCATGCGAAGACATGTATCATCATATATTAATGAAATGATGTTTTAATACTGAAAAATAGAAAATGTAAAAAGGACATAGTCTTTTACTAAGGAAAGTCTTTTTTCTTTTTAATTTTCCCATTGCAGTTTATATTCAATATTATTTTGTTTTAAGGAAAGTCTTTCTTTAAAAAGTTTAGTTGGTAGCCCTGGCCAGTTTGGCTCAGCAGTTAGAGCATCGGCCTGCAGTCCAGAAAGACCCGGGTTCGGTTCCCACTAAGGGCATGTACCTCGGTTGCAGTTTGCCCCTGGCCCTGGTTGGGTCGTGCGGATGGCAGCCACTCAATGTGTCCCTTTCACATCAATGTTTCTCTCTCTCTCTCTCTCTCTCTCTCTCTCTCTCTCTCCTCCCTCCCTCCCTCCCTCCCACTCTATCTGAACAAAATATGGAAAAATGTCCTCGGGTGAGAATTTTTAAAAAAGTTTAGTTGGTAACAATTTTTCCCATGTATCAGCAGACTGATGAAAATGTCACAAACTGTCAGGGGTCTGCAAATTCGAGCTTGGGGCTCATTGGACCAGATGACCTCTGGAAGCCCTCTATCCCTGATGTTCTCTATTTCACGCCAAAGGCACTTTGCTTCAGGCTTCTTCTATTCTCCAACAGAATTTTCTGGCTAAAGTAGAACCCAGTAGGTATTTGCATTATCCCGCTGCCCTGTGCTTAAATCAACCTAACTACTTGAGAATTAATGATACATTGAGAGGTTTTTCAAGAAGGTGAGTACAAATATTTCCCTCCTTCATTCACTTTTATTTATTCATCTCTATGAGGGTAACTTAAGGGTTCTGATAACACAGCATCACCTTGGATCCAAGAGCCAAATGAGATTGAGTGTAAAAAGGAGCCAGAATGCTCTACTT